TGCAATCTGTTTTTATAACAGTGAAGCAACTGTGGCAATCATTAAGCAAATCCATTTTCCCCACTGAGTGTTTATTGCAGGAAACCAGAAGTAAACAAGGAAAACTTCATAAATTGTGCTCATGTGACACTATAAATGGCTGTCAATGTGAGCCATCCACTCAGTTTCTTCCCAGCCAGAGTGAGCCAGGGGAGGAGTGGATCCAGCAGCACCCAGGTCCTCCTGGATGTTGCCTTGGTTAGACATTCTTTGCTCAGCCCCCTTGGAAGTATTAACTCCAGGATGGCTGATAAAGCAGACCCTGCTTAATGTCAGATGTGCTTCTTTCAAAATCCAAGAAAGAAAACCCACAACTCCCATGGTTTTAGAGAAAAGGTACTTTTACTGGATATGACCTGATAGCAAAGAAAGTAAAGCAAGGTCTGAGGCTAAAGGCGCAGAATTTTATATATCAAAAGTTTACCCAACACCCTCCCCCCAACAACCCCAAGCTAAGTGTCCAGTCTCTAGCTCCCAAGGGGTGCATCTTCAGGTGGCTTCATCCATCTGGTACGCAGAGACGGTGGCCTTGACCAGGCCTAAACAAGTCCATTCAGCATGCGCAGAAGATGGTGAAAGCAAAATTCCCTCTTCCCAAATACTGAAACCCACTCCCCCCGGTTACTATGGCAGCTGATAGCAAGCAAAGTGATATAGAGGCTGACACCTTCCTGGATATCCCTGATCAAGAGACAACGATGGCAAACTAGAAACACAAGACAGTGTAGCAAAAACCATCCACACCAATTAAGTGCTCCATTAACAGAACAATAACCCAACCCCCCACAAGAGAAGCTGCATAAAAACTCTATTTAAACAAGTAGTAACACACTGCAGCAACCCTAAACAACAGAAAAAGGAAAGTGTGCATCTATACAATGTCTTCCAACAAAATTAATATCATGCAATTTCATCAAAAAGTGCTTGGCCATTCAAACACAATATAGCACAACCAACACAAGCCGTAATAAAAATAACACTGTCACATCAAAAATATCTCAGAAACTACCCTGATAATAAGACCTCCCTGGATAATAAGCCCAATCAGGCTTTTGAGCGCATACGCTAAAATAAGCCTTTCCCCGAAAATATTGCAACAGAGCAGCAGCCATGAGGTGACTACGCTTGCCGCCTCCTGCACCTCGAAAATAATAAAGCCTCCCCGAAAATAATGTCAAGCACTTATTTTGGGGGTCAAAAGAAAATAAGACCCTGGCTTATTTTCAGGGAAACATGGTATCAACAGTCTATTATAACCACATGGAATCAGTGTACCACTAAAGCTCTCCAAAACACCCTAAGTAAACCAAAAGACCCAGCAGCCCACAAAAAACAGGGGTCATCCACAACAAACAGTGTAATGACTGCAACAACCACTACATAGGACAAGCAGGCAGATGAGCAGAACGCATCCATGAAAACAACTAGCAGGTAGAAGACATGATGAAAACTCTTTAATTTCACAATATATGGACAGACCTAACCATAGTTTCAAATGGGAAAGTGACCATCCCAGACCAAGCCAAATCCAAAAACGCCAGGGAATTTCTAGAAATCTGGACCTCTTGACAAATAGGTAGGTATGCCATAAACAATATCTACCTGCTATAGATATGAAACCAGACAAAAGAGACAAGCAACAAACCAAAAGGGGAACAAAAAGTCCCAAGCACCTCTCCACCAGCAATCAGCACCCAGATGAGCAGAGATCAACTCCAAGATTAGCATCAGACCATCATCAAGAAGTAAAGAGTACCACAATCGAGGAACTACCAACTGGCTAATCAGCCAACCAAACAACCTCCAAGACCACTTCCATCAACACTGACAGGGGAAGCCTCTAGAAAATGGACCTCAACTTCAAGTACCAACAACAGGCCCCAGAGGGCAGGACAAGAAACAATGGATGGAAACTAATCAAGGAGAGAAACAACTAGAATTAAGGAGAAACTTCCTAACAGTGAGGACAATTAACCAGGGGAACAGAAGTTGCCTTCAGAAATCGTGGGCGCTCCAGCACTGGAGGCTTTTAAGAAGAGACTGGACAGTCACTTGTCTGAAATGGTATAGGGTCTCCTGCTTGAGCAGGGGGGACTGGACTAGAAGACCTCCAAGATGTCTTCCAGCTCTATTCTGATTGATTGATTGATTGATTGATTGATTGATTGA